GGGACTTGAGGCATTGGGGGGGAGCGAGTCTGCTAGAGCTGCTGGTTCAGGGGGGAGTGTCAGAGTGCGCCCAGCACCTCTGCATCGCTCCTATGCCCTTGGCACAGCAGCCCAGTGGCCTTGGTACGCTTTCCAGCATTCCAGGACACTTGGGTAAAAAGAGGTAAAACTTGCCTGTTGTGTGAGTTGAACCTAGAGCCTTGTGGTAGTTCCCAGAGCGCTGCAACCACTCAGCTATTGTGTGTTGAGGTATACTTCTACTTGTGTCTTGTTTATACCTTCACCACCTTCCTATTCCAGTATCTCGCGACTTTGCCCCTATTTCGCTTTCCTCTACTCTTTGGCTTGCTATGGAGAACTCCGAGCTACTGTACAGTTCCCAAACCTTATTTCTTTTCACCTATATAATCCTGGTGTCCACAGAGCGTCTCCTTACTTGCTCACTGTTGGACACCAGGTCAGTACCCTTGTATTTCGTCTTTATCAATACCACTTGCTCACTGTTGGACACCAGTGCCTCTTCTGAGCTTGATAGTGAGCCTGTCATCTTGTGAACAATTGAGGTCATGATATTGTTGATGAAAACCAATCGCAGGAATCCGCTTGGTTTCCGTGAGATTAATGGCCAGTTTCTTTGAGGGCATAGAAGTTTGCATTGAAAGATTGAGGAGCTGAATTTTACTAGGAGATGAAAAAACTGATGGAACTGATGGCAAAAATACTGCTCTAGCTGTTTTTGTATATACTTGGGTCCAGATAAGAACCATGTCCTCTTGAGAGGATGTGATTGCTTCATCCTTTCTTTCCACCCACATTTTTACCTGTGAGGCCTGGTGCTCCACTCAACTTTCTTTTCTAGTAATTTCTCTACTCCAACATCTTCAAATCAACTCTAGTGTTATGTGTTGCAATGAGCACCATCATCTGTCCATTCTGTGTCTGCCAGGCAGTCTTGGGGCTGTTTATCAGTGAAGACTTTCCCAATGAAGGCAGGGTAAGAGTGAAGGTAAGCACTTCTTCAAGTGTTCCATGTTGTTGCCTTGAGGGGATGCACTGGTTTGCTGTTCTTGTTAGAGGCTGACTTCATGTTGACAAAGGTAGAGATGTCACAGCTCGCTAGAATTCTGGGAGCGCAGCAGCATATCAGCTGCCATGGATTGCACATCTCTGATCATCGCAACTCACCTCAACTCTTTTGGCTTTCTCTACCTTGTTCAGCCTGTGTGAGCTCTCCTTCTCCTCCTCCCCAGATGGATCCAGCATCTCAACATTGTCCTGCTGCCAGTGCATACATTGCCCACATACCAGTGGCCTTGTACCCAAACCATAAACACCCCCTGATCAAAGGGCAGCTTGTTCCACCAAGTCTTGAATCAGCACACTTGCATGGGACACAGCTCCCTGTTTCTGGCAATCGTGAGGAAACTTCTCTGTCATCCAATTCTTTGCCCATATGTTCAGCTTGGTCAAGGAAAAAATCCCATTGTTTGAAGCTTCTATCCAGATTTTTTTGACATCCTCTTCATGATTTCATGTGAATAGACCTCCTGAGTTTCCTGTGGTATGTTATAATTCATCTGCGGTGATCATTCATGCACCAAGTTCCATATTCCTCCAACATTTTGACAAAAAAAAACTGTTGTTTTATGTGTTTCAGCTCCAGACTTTTTATTGCCGCCCAACATGCTTCTTGAATATCCATGAGGTGCTGAACATGATCAGGTTGACAAAAGTCGAGCTTGTTCCAGCTGGGAAGAAGTTGGCTGGGAGCCTTGATGACTGTGCTGTCAACAACCCAGTCCAATGGCACAGGCTCCTCTGCTAAACTGCTGCTATCAACACAGTGGGCAGGGATGCTGCTTTTCCAGCCGGGATAAGAGCAGAATGGAGGTGTGAGAGGATTTATCAGAGACGATTGCAGGGAGCAGTGGCAGGGCTGAGCCCCAGCAGTGAGGGCGAGCTGGGGTGAGTACTATCAATGTCAAGACATTTTTGCTGATGATAGGCAGATCAATGCAATGGTGATGGGTCCAACAATGATGAAGTTCCTGAGGCCAGATATGAGGTCACCTGCAATGAAATGGTCAGCAAGGTGGACTTTCCTGATGGTATGCAGCCTGCAGCAATCATGCAGCTAACAGCCTTAACACTCAGGCTCCACCATTGATGCTCTAGTAGCAGGGACCCCATTTGTAGCTGAAACTAACAGTAAGCACTTTGTTTGTTTTGTAGTTGTGACACTGTTATGATTACTTGATCCAGTCAATGCTGGCAAAGACACCAACAAAAGTGAGAAGGCAGTGTCCCTGGGTGACCCAGCAGATGCTGAGGTGCAACAGGAGGATGAACAAGGTGACTCCTGCCCATCCATGGAATGCATTGGAGCTCACAACACTGATAGATGATGTCACCACACCCCTTTCTATGGAAGGCATTGAACTTGGCTGTGAGTCCACCCCTGCTGTGATAATGGGCCTGCCTTTGACAAACCTAGCACTGTTGGAGAATGAGGACAAGGATGAGGATGAGCAGGACAACAACCAAGAAGAGCAATGACTGCCCTTTGACTCATCATGAGCCATTCAACATGTTCAATTTGGTCATCAGTGACAGCAATAGCAGTGACAACAAGGATGATATTGACATGGGTGCAGCAGCAGAGGGTGCACAGCACTGGGAACCTGGGGAAACAGCAGACCACTGCAGACACTGCTGACATTCTTCATCTTTGATGCTGATGATGTATTTGTCACTTTTGACTAGGGTTTCTCTGAGGTACAATAGTAAGTAAGTACTTGTCAGAAAATTCTTCATTGTCTTCCAGAGGTATGTCCTTGTAGATTGGACTTTAGGTACCTTGGGCTTCTTTGGCTTGATGCATTTGAGGATTTTGCATTTTGAGGTTAGGTGATGTAATGGTTTAACCCTTCAGTGTCATCAATTTCTTTGATGCTGACCATTTGCTTGGGCTAGTCAATCTTTGGGTTGAGCCATTACATTTCTAGAGTCTTCATGTAGTTTAGATATGATGGTACATTCCTCCTATGTCCGTGTTGAAGACACATTGTGTGGTTTTGTGTCTGGAAAGGGTTTTGTTTGAGGTATCTTGGTAGTCTATGCTTTCATACAAAGCAATGGTTGATATAGTCACATCCAGCTCCAGAGTTAATCAGGGCTGAGGTGTCAGCTTTCTGTCCTTCTGGTGGATGGATAAACAGATTGATTCTGGGATATGCAGAACCTTTGTTTATTGGTAATGAGTAATCTGATAGATAGTGTTCATCCTACAAATGCACTAGATGAGAGTTGTCTGGAGAGGCAATTTATCAAATTACTTGCTCTCCTTCTCAAAAACTTGTTCACCATTGGGATTTCTTGTTATGACCACATCAGCAATTCTGTTGATGGACTTCATTGGACAACATCAGTACTTTGATTACTTGATTAACTGCTTGGCTAGAGTTGGTGCAGAATGGGTCACAGTCACTGTTGCAGTTTTGTGATGTGTCCTTCTTGTGGACATTCCGGTGGCGAGCTTTCTGCTTGTATTTGCCTTCTTTGTAGAGGCAATTGCATTCATTTAGGGAGAGGCAAGTACATTTGACATTCTTAGCATTGGAGAGCTGGTGAACAAGGCTTCATCTATGCAGTAACACATTATGGCTAATGGGGTCTGTGTTATAATAACTTGGATGCTAGGGCGTCTTTGCAGGTATGTCTTTGCAGGTATATGGTGGCCTTGCAGACCAGCTCTGAGAACTTTGGCTTCTTAATTGCTGTTCTCTGTGACCCAATGTCACTGAGAATGGGCCAAGGACAGCATCACTGTTAGTAGACACCAAGTGGGGTGTTAGCCACCAAGTCACGGGGTTGGGTAGTCAACATATCTTGGACTGGTGGCATACTCTGCACAACATGTCCATTTGCACTGCCACTGCCTGAAGGGACAATGTACTGGCTGTCTGAAGAACATGGGGGCAACTGAAGCAGTGCATGTAGGTAGGCACCTTCATCCTCAAGGCTTCTTCCCATTGAGAGGCCAGGTTGAGGGTAGGTATGTCAACACTGGGAGGAGTGTGACAATGATGAAACACTATAGCTTTGCAGAGGAAAGAAAGCCAAAAAGGCAAGTGTCTATGTTGTCACACACATGTGTATTAGGCCAAACTTATTCTTGAGAACACTCAAAGTTCACCCCAAGTTCCTGTTGATGCTTCCAGCTGAGAGCTCCTATCTCCCTTGAATGTGTACCCAGTTGGCCTCCACTGGATCACAGCCCACAGTATCTTTGTCAAGGGGGTTGTTGGTCCAACCTTTATGTAGGAGTAAAACTGCCAGTAGTATGCAGTTTGACAAAGTCAGCCTGCAAGGGGGTTGCCTGTATTTACATACACCCACTTTATTCCCTCCTTTTGCATACTCACAATGGGTGCATACAGTGGGTGCTCAGGTCCACAAGAGATAAACCCTGCCTCCTTGTGTGGCTTGTATCAAGCTCAAAAGAGGCTCCTCCACCTGCGCTGCCTGCGCCTCAAGAACATCTCCAGGACGTTCCAGGTCCTCACAACTGTGCCCCAACGCCTCCTCCACCGCCTTCACGTTCTCCTTTGCCTCCTCATTGTGCTCACTCTGTCCCTGCCCCTCAAGTCCCTACATGTTGTTCTGCCAGGGATAGGACTGTGACCACCCAGTGGTGGAAGCTGGACAAGCCTCGCTTGTATCCTGCTGAGCCTGCACCTGCTGGGCCTGCTGAACCACTTGTCCCTGTTGATGAGAAGGTGGACATGGTCCCAGACAGTGAGGACAAGGATGAGGATGCTGAAGATGTGGACACTGCACTAGCGCTCCTGGGCTCATACTCCTTGCTGAGGTGAAGACCAGGCTCTGTAGGCATCAGGGGAGCATGGCAGGAGCCCATGCCAAAGCAATCAAGCACATCCTGAGTGTAGTGATACTGGGGGAGAGCGATGGTGCGCTGAGAGCGGTCTCTATCGATCTTGATGCCTAGCAGCTGAGTGGTGGGGCCAAGATCCCCAAGCTTGAAGCACTGAGAAAGCTCGGTGACACAGCGATCCAGCTCTGCTTCAGCAGGCACACCTGGTCCTTGCCACTGATGTGAAAGCCATCTGGCTGATGCATATAGAGTGTGACATCCATGTCCCCTTGCAAGTACGCATTGGAGATGTGACAGAGCGAATGTGGAGGTCATGGATGGTAGCAGAGTTAGGATGAAGTGAATGGTGGAGAGGCGAACAGTGGGGAGCGAAAACCTCGAGGTAGTTTGAATCAATTGTCTATTTTAGGCAACCAAATTTATATACATCCAGACTCTTGCTTTGAAAGAATATGACAATTTAGCTTTCCTCTACTCTATCAGGTCTCAGCTGGTTGCATAGCTGCCCATAGGGTGCTACTGATAAGATTAGGTAGATTAGACTACACCAAAGACTCAACAAGCCAACCATTCTTCACTTCATGGCTATATAAACAATTAGTTCATTTCCACCTCAGCTGCTTTGGCAATTTCCCTTGCAAGCTAGTATTGTACAACCACCACCACTACCATAAGCAAGCCAAAAACATGCTTATCCATCCTATCAGGTGCAAGGCAGGTAGCTGAGCTATTCATAGAACACAATACTTGCTTCTGGGTCTGTACAGTATAGGTGGCAGTGGGCTGACCATTGGAGGAGTTAATAATGTTGGCAGTAGCACTGGTAGCCATACCAGTCAGTGGTCACAACAATTATTTTATCCATCTTTGATTTGCAAGATGAAGGTGAACAGCCTAATAGCAATTTGCAGCATGCAAAAGGCCTACCTACTATGTTGGGCAGTTGTTGTAGATATCAGCTTAATATATTATTCAAATGTTGAATTTGTATTTACTAGCTAGGATAACAAGACAATAAGCAGCAGATCCTAGCAAAAAATACTTTGGCAGTGGGTTTGTCTCATTTTCTACAATTATGGAGATGTGAGCCAATAATAAGCTATCAACAACTAGATTGCTTTTAGTGTTGATAACACTGGTGCCATTTCCCTTATGCAGCAGACTTCAATTCACTCTCACATGAAGCACATAGCAGCTCAATATTACTTCTGTTGGCATCACATTGCAAAGGGCACCTTCAAACCCTCTTGGGTAGCCTTGGCCCAGAACACCACAGTGTTGCCCCTCTCTGCAACTTCCTGCATCCAAGAGCTGTCAACCATTGCCCAACATATGCATGACCCAGGGGAGCACAAAGTTTATGTGCATTGCAAACATACTAGGTATTGAAGGGTATGTTCCTCTGCTTCAACACAGCTTTCTGCATGTTGATAACACACCGGACTGTCACAATTTTTTTCTTTTTCTTTTGCAATAGCTCTGACTGGTCTTGCAGCTACTGGAGAGGGAGGAGTTTGCTTTTGGAGACATGCAGGGAGTGAGGAAGGTGCCTGAGGTGACTAAAGAAGACTGCATGGCAGTGAAAATGAGTCTGATGAGGGGAGAGGGGGAGCACTCTTTTGATTACACTGGCAAGTTGTGAAAATATGATATCACCTGGAATACCAATCATGTTTCACTCACTGTGTAGGATGGATATTGAGTGTAGAAAAGACTGTTGGGAATGGTAAATGTCATGTCAGCAGATGCGTATTGCCCATTCCAGCATGCAGCAAATACAAAGTTTGAAGTTTCCACTCTCAAACATGCAACATAGTTGGTGTATGGAGAAATACTGCCTCTTCCAGCATGAGTGCTTGCAATGCCAGGAATCGCACAACATCCCTGACGTTCACCTGGTCTCAAGTGAGAGGATGTTTGTCAAATGGCTCCCTCACATTCCAGATATGTAGTCCTTTGTGCTCGACAAGTCGGCAGTGACCGCCCGCTACCACCATCAGCAATGTGATGGCGTAGGTATATTGCCTGACCCACTCTGATCTGTACTGTGTCTCATTGGGTTCCAGATGATTGAGCAGCTGGTAACGTGCACGTAGTGTGCTCTCGTTGGGGAGGTGTGTGACGGAGTTGCGTCCTATTCCCAAGGCATTGAAGTGCGAATACTTCTTTGTGTACATGATCCATCTTTGGAGTGTATCATGCTTAGTTGGGGGAGCCATCCATCCTTCCATCTGGCCCGAGCCTATTCCCCATGCTGATCCACGCAATCCATATGGTGGAGGGATTGCAGGATCATTAATATCAATGAAGATGCTGTTGTCCCTGACGGTCTGGTTCTTGTAGGGTGTGATTATCTGTCGCGATTGCTCATGACAGCATGACATCATCATGACCACTTATGACTATCCTACATAACGTGTTAAATGCGCCGCAGTGGCAGCATCATTTCTGAGCACAATAGGTTTCTGAGCACAATAGGTCATGTGATTGGCTACTTCAATAAGCGATCACATGACCCGGTTTGGTTACCTTACATTACCGACTTACATAATTGTTCTCTAACATTCCCGGACATTCCATATGACATCACAACAACATCACATACGCGTCATAGTTGACATCATACATATGACATTCCTTTACCTTATGTACAGCACAGCATGGTCTGTGCGTACACAGTCCTTACCATAGTAGGTAGACTGTTTGGCTCGACCAAACATCCTGTACTTGTATATAGTCTGCACAATAACAGCCCACGAACTCCAAGTGAGTTCTTGTGGGAATACCTCCTAACACTCTACACCTAGTCTTGCCACATCGGCAAGCAGTCATCACTCCTACCCTCTTGGCGTTGTGCTGTACAGCGCTTCATTGTCTTCTTTGTCATAGGTTCTTGAGTGCGGTTGGTTCTTGGGGCTCGTGCCTTAGGAGTCGCTCACAATATACTCAATTGGTCTCTGACTGCCCAGCCCGGAATGTTCCAGTTTATGGCCTGCTGATGGTAGTCCATCTGCGAGCAGTGCTGCGTGAACTGTCGGAACCTCCATGCCATCTTGATGAGAGACCATCGTTGTGCAATTGGGTCCTTCGTCTCAAGTCTCAGCCATTCCCAATCGTCAACTGACACAATTGTCAGGAGTGACTGATGTTCAACGTGTGGGATACTTGGTAGGGGAATGCAGTTTCTCCAGCACTTCACGTTGAGCCCATTCCCAGTTGTCCTGTCTCATGAATATATATGACTTTCCATTGAGCTTGCTTTCTGCGTTGTACGCCAAATACGGCCCTTCGCGTTGCAGGCAGCCCACCATGATCTTTGATGCTGCCGCCTTCTGCTTTCCTTTTCCGCCCTTGACCTCTGATTCCAATGGTTGGTCACCACCTTTCTGAGTCCCATCCATCCAAGTTGTCTGCATGGACAACTTCTCCTTGGAATGGTGTGAAGTCAAAGGCAGGGTCAACAGGCACATGCTTTTTGAATTACCCTATTTCTTATTAGAGCTGAATCAACTGCTTGTAAGTGAGTAAATATGGTAGCAACTTTGTGTTAGGTCCTAGTAATTGTAATGGTACATACTGTTCAACTGCCCAGGCTGGGCAATCAAATGAATAGTGGTGCATTTTTTTGTCAGCTAAGTCATTGCAGTGCTTGCATGTGGCATCATTTGTGTTCCCTGATTTGTTGTAAGTAACCATTCATTAAATTGTATTGTATGTATGCATAAGTGGGTCAGGATGTTTATCTGTTGTTTTGGTAGATCAGTTGTCAATGCAATGAAAAATTAGGATCTTTCTTTAGTAGAAGGGCTTTGAATTAGTGTGCCCTTTGAGACATTGCCTATTTCCCCCCCCCCCCCCCCACCTTACCTTCAACTCTTTCTTGTGTGTTGTCTTCAAAGCTGGCAAAATAGCATTGCATTTTATCTTGCTACTGTCACATTGCCAGACTCAAGTTCTCTCACCAAGAATTTCTTCATTTGCTTACTCATACACTCTTTACTGCTTTTTTATTGATTCATTTTCTCTTACTTGGTCTCCTTAAAATTGTGCATCACATTCTTGTTGTGCAATGACTTCACTGTGCAGTGCTAGGGTCCATATGTTTCAGGCAGCAAAAAAACAGACAGCTGATAAAATCCAGTACTTGTCTCCACTGTTTTTCTTTTATTCCAGCAAGATTTTTTTGGCTGTGCAAGAGCTATACAAGGACCTTATTAGCAAGGTTATTATCATATATCCATTTTCATCCATTGAGGTTGGTCACCCCATGTCAGATGATGCTTATCTAGTACTGGAACTCTGTGTGTGAGGGCCCTATTGTCCTTCCCTCCTCGGCTCTGCAGGGTCCCTCCAACAGCTATAAAGGCCTTGCAGTCAGCCTGTTCCCTCTGGGGTTCCCCTGGCCACTGTGAATGAAGGAGGAAGTCTTTTCAAATCATATTCCATAACATGATAACATGTAGAAAGGGAGAGCATTGTGGATGCTACTCCAGGGGTGGTAAGTGAATAGACATAGCCCGCTATGTTCTCTCAATGTTGTTTTCTGCCCAATGTTTTGGCCTCTTCCTAATACCTAATAACCACCCACCATCGAGCAACTGCCAGCAGTCAGCACGCAAGTCTCATCCAGGGGCAAAGCCCCAACAGCCTGTACAAAATTAGCAAGGTTGAAATGGCACATGCAATCACTATGAGGGTTTCAGACTTTAGCTCTAGGGCTTTTAGCATGACTTTTTAGATTCCTAGCTTACTGGAACATTATTAACAATGATGATGAAGTCTTTATTCCTTTGGCTTTCACAATCAGTGAATTCCTTTTTACTCTAATCCAATATTTTGCCAGATGTCAAAAACTCAAAAACTCGACAAAAAAAGGGGGAGGGGACCCAAAGTATTGCTTTCTTCCCCATGGGCTCTACAAAGAGAACCAAAGTTTGGTGGACAAATTTATTATTACCATCCATTGCATAGTCTACTTCCAAGGGCAGGATTCATACAAGTTGGGTCAGGGGCTGTGTGACCCAGCCTGCATTTTTTAACGCAGTCTTGTACTTGTTGGTGCATTGGCTAGGGTCAAGGATGTACAGGAGGTGGTATGTCTTCACTGAAAAAAAGACACCTTGGGTGTGTGCCCTGAAGCATTATACTTGTTCATTCAGATTGCAGACAATTTCTGGCACTGGGCTAGTACCATCATATCAAGAACAAATGGGAGGGTGTTTATGGTCAACTTTATTGGCAAGCTTGTCCTTGCTGTCTGAAACATGTGTGATATTGTCAATGGTGTTGCCATCAGGTGGTACTGTTGGTACCAGTATTGGTGATCTAGAGCTAAGTGCCAGAAGTATCTGGGTGAGTGCTACATGTAGATGTAATATCCGTAACACATATGTCAGAGCTAAACTAATTACCAGGTATGTAACAATGAACTCACACATTGAGTCTGTATTGTTCCTTAAGCTGTAAATGGTATGATACTCATCAGATTCTCCATGCTTAGTGCAAGATATCACTACCTAATGGGGGTCATCTTCAGTTGGGTCTACACACACAAATGTACACAATGTAGAAATAACTAGTATGCTTATTTTCTGTGGGCACATCTAGCACCAGTCTTCTTTGTCAAAGAGTAGTTGCTCATAGCATGGATGATATAGAAGAAAGCAAGAGGCATGTGCTAGTGCAAAATAAAACACTGACCAAATTTTGGAGCTACCACAAATAGCAGGTGGTTTTTTAGATGCTCCATTCTTGCAAGTTGCCTATAGTTAATATTAGGAAGTGTATGAGTCATTTTTTATCATTTAAACCATACATGTAAAGTATTTAGGGTTATGGTCAAATACATGAATCTTTCAGACATAATATGTTAATTCAATTGATATGTTGCCACCCAAAAAACAGAACTTGGGTGGCATCAAGGTGTTGAGGCCTGAAAAGTCAATTGCATGTGATCAAGTTGTGATTGTAGTAAACAATATATCAACCATCTTTGTATTCCTTGCTGCACCACCCCATCAACACCTGTTATTTGTTCCTCTCTTTATCCATCCATCCCTCATTATTATTATTGAATCCCATTTATTGCTCTCCAGGGCATGGTCTTATGGCAAGCAATTACAAACATGTAGGTATGTAGATGGTGCAGTGGGGGATATAACTATGATAGTGGGTTGTAAAACAGTGGCCTCCCCCATGGCAAGTGCACAGAATCAGCAATAGTGGTTTGTATGGTAGTGCTTGGGGGCATTGTAGGAAAAACTGAATAAACTGAATGGATCCACCCCTAAACATCCTTTTCAAGCCTCCAAAGCACTTCAATATCTCCAAACACAATATGATGTATGAAAAGAGTTTTTTCATCAATTAACTCTCACCAGAAACATATATAGCAACATCCCTACTGAGTATTGGCAAAATTGGTTCAACATTTGCCAGGTGCACCCAAGTCCATCAATGACTGGCTACAAGTATCTAAGGTATGAGTGTTTGTTCAACCAAGGAAAACTCATGCATATATTCACATTCAGCAATGTCCCTGCCAACTATTGACCCTGGTATAATATCAGGCCTATTCATTACAACCAAAACATTAACCATGTCTTTCACAGTGACAATCTGGATGATAGTCAATCTGAGGCATCAGACAACTTGCATGATGACCAGACCACAGATGTCCTCACTGAGCCGGGCTCAGACAATAAAGAACTGGACCTAGAGCATATGTTTGCTATGAACACATCCAATGCACTCCTGTGGCTACACCAATATGGCTACCTCAATGACAAATCCAGCACTTATCACCAAAAAGTTGTGTGTAGTGTCCAGAATGTCTCAATTGGATCAAAATTTGCCTCCCTTTGGAAAATAACCACTTATCTGTTCCTAGTCACTTGCACTTGCTCACCCAGCATCAAGGCAGCTGCAACTGCTGATTTCACACTATCACCACCCCCAATCTCTTGTCAGGTGCGCAGAGTATTACTAGCAGCCATACATTGTCACTCTTGTTATTTTTGTCAACCTCAGCTTCAATGTCCTCACTGTCATTTATAACAACATCAGCACCACTTACATCAATATTTCAGCAGCCATTCTAGCTGGCTGCCAGGGCTATCCTATTCATTGGGACATTCCTGGCAGCTTGTTCCTTGACGCATTCCCCATGGCTGATAGGTGTGGTTTCCTCCTGTTCTCCTTGAATTTCACAGGTGCCATTCCCAGGGACCAGATTGGTATATCACTGGTTTATTGCTGTCACTGACTCTTGCATCAAATGTGTGTAGATTGGCAGAAATTGAGCACTTTTGTTTGCTCACTATTAATGCAGCACCCCACATCAGTCACCGTTTTTTTTCTTGTTGCCAAATTCATACCCTTGTATAGTTGTTCAAGGATCAAATCAACTTGCTGAAACTTGATGTAAGTTGTTTCTGTCTGCTAAGTTTGAGTCTCAGTAGACTAATGTTAATTCCAGGCACTTAACTTGAGCTGTTGCATTGGAACCATGCTCATATGTCTTGACACTTTCAACACACTCCTGATGGGCCTGGCCAAACATGATATGTCACACATGCAGCAGCTGCTGATAAGCACAGCCCACCATCATGGTGACAGTGTGCACACTGTCCTCAACTGTGTTGGCAAGACCATCAAGATAGTCTACAAGCTGTGTGGGTATACTCAGGACAGCTTAGAGATTGTGAACTTGATCTACCTCCTTGGTGGCAATCAGCTCTTGGTTGCATGTAACTCTTGGGCTCCCTTCTTGCTGTTTGTTCATCTGAAACTGCACATTCAACAACACCAACACAACTATTGAGCCTATCATGCTGTCAGACTTTGTCCATGTTCACAACACCATCATGTCTGCCTCCACTCCCACATTCTCTGGCCATACCATCTGCATTGATGAAATCACAATGTAGGAAAAAGCAAATTTCAACAGCAAGTCACAGTGGATTATTGGTATCTGTCACCAGCACACTGACACTGTCAATCTCACCATTACAAACACCAACTTTACCATCTGCATCACTGAGAGCCTTACTAAACCCAAGTGTCATCTTGGTAAGGAAGCAACAGTTATGAAATGATGGAAGCAGTATTCCATCTGTGCAAAGGAAGAGTACCATGCTTTCACCTGATAGTTGTATTGGTTTGGGTGGTTTGAGGTTTAGTGTGATGATAAGTTTCATTAAGAGAGAACTTGTATTCCTAGTATGCTAGTCCTAGGGTTTATGTAAGGAGAGTGTCATACACTGCAAACAATTCATGATAATTAGCCTGAAATACTTGAAAAATACTGTAAACATTAAGTTGAACCATTCTCAGTAATTATTTATTTATTACTGTAAAAACTACCTTGAACAATCATGATAAGGAGTAAGCAATTACTTGAAATGCCATTGAGAACATTACCATAAAAATAGTTCAGAGTAATGTTTACAATAAAGTGTGGCTAGCTTACTGTAAATTACCATAAACTGCTTTTAAAGTAATGTTCATGATAATATGCTGAGGCTTACTTGAAAATTACTAAAGACAGTAGTTTTGATAACATACAAAGTAAGTTTATGATAATCCAACTTGCATTATCATGACTCAAACCCACAATAAACGGAAGAAAATTACCTTGAAACCAATAAAATAGTTATTGTGAATGGGGATTGGCTATATTGGGATTAATTACCAAAAACTGGTAGCCAACAAC